TAAATATTCATCGATTGGCTCTGTAAACCTTCTTTTTACGCTAGCCAATTCTTTTAGACTTATCTTGGTTTGACCCATGTAGAATTGTTCATGGAACAATCTTTCCAATTGGTTCCAATTGTGGATTGAATTGGCTAGGAGGGTGGTGAACCAAGTGAAAGCATTCTTTGTTAGGGAACTTGGGAAATATTTGATTCTAAGGCTCTCGTTGTTTGCTATTTCCCCGACCTCGATCAAATATCTAGCCACATGTTCGACAGTAGACTCTGTCGTATCCCCTGAAAATTTAGTAAACTTTGGGACTTTTCCCCTAGGTGGTAAGTCTGTTTGCAGAATATATTCTGACAATGGGGATGTAAAGTTTGGTATGTGAAAACCAACGTTCATACCGTTTTGAAGCACAATCCTATCAATCATGGCAGTTAGATTATTGTCTGTCCCATAGTTTTGGTGTCGAACTTGTTGTATTAATTCGTCAGCATTTTGGTTTCTATTAGCAATAATAACTCCTTGATCGATTTCTTTAGGGTGTCGTGGTACTTCGACCCTTGGTTGTTCTATTTCTACTCTAGGAATCTGGGGGTTTGGATTAACGGTCAAATCCTCTTCCATAATTACCCCTTGATTTGCTCTTATTGGCATTCTCTGGGGTTGTCGAACAACTTGGGGTACCCCAAAGAATTCAGCCATGCGCGTCATTTGCGCTGTCATCTGTTGATTCGACTGTGTAGCAGTCTGGATGAGGGGGTTTAGCACTGTACTTAGAGTTTGTGCTAACATTTGTACCATATCATGATTACTTTCGTCCATTTGTTGCCTCAAAATTGCTGTCGAAACATTCGTGAGGCTTGGTATTACATGAGATGGCCCTCCCAAAAATTGGTTTCTACTGGCTCCAGACCCCTGTAATGGCAATGTTGCATTCACCAAAGGTTCTGAAAAAGTGGAAGCAGCATTCATAAGGCTAGCCATTTCAGTAGTTGGCATGCCATATGGTTGCTCTCGACCCATCCAGGTTGTCGAAAAGCATGGGGGCATAAATGATCGAGATCCTAGGTTTACCCTTGGTGGAGGCGTTCCTAATGGACCTCTTGGACCTACATACGAAAGTAAGGGTCCAGTTTGATTTATAGTTAACATTGGTATTTATCCAACGGAAGTTGGGATATTCCCTTCGACAGCGGTATTAACCACTGTTCCAGTAATTGGTGGAGGTGTTTCTCCATGATTTGGCTCGTTAGCCATACTACTCTCACTATTTTTCTTCCTAACAATATACTTGTTGGTTACTTTACCACTTCTCAATAACATGCAACGTTATAACTGTACAGGAAAAACTCAATAACATAAACAAGATATTTAATAAAAATTAGCAACGTCCCACCAGGTGTGCCAATTTGTTTACCGTGGTTTTTGGTAAACAACCGCTGATCTCCAAAAAGGAAAGTTCTTTTTGGTTTACTTACGGGATCTATCAGATTAATCCCAGAACATATGCTAATTTTTATGTAAGACAAATAAGCAGGAAGAACGCACGTTCGACCCAGAGAAAAGATGTTTGAGATTTTGGAAGAATAGACAGGAAAGTAGAAATACAGGTAAAGAAGTAAGAAAGATAACTTTGCAAGATAATATTAAAGTAATGTAAAAGACTTTCATTAATAAAAAGAGGTGTTTCAAACGTACATTTCTCAGTTTTATCCTTTCTCACACAGCAGTTACTTGGATAATGTTTGAGTGACTAGTACAATAAGTTGAACACCTCCAAAAACTACACAAGTTTCCTAATTTTTACTAAAAATAAGTAACCGTCGAGGGATCATTCAGTGCTAAGATGAAGACAAGTGTCTTCTGTATGTCACTCGACCTATGGCTTTCAGCCACGTTGCTTCTTCTTAGCCGCTGGCGAAACTGCCTTTCCCTCCAATAATTCAAAATTCAAATATCTCTCGTATCATGTGTCAAAGCGAAGATATTTTCTCTCCGTCGAAGGACATAAGTCCTCTTTAGTCGAACAGGCCTGAAGGTGAGCCATGGTCGAACGTTCAAAAATAACCTAGATTTTTCTCCTAAGTTATCTCATACGTCGAATATTCTTCTTGACTTGGTTTATTCCAGTTTTTTGGTGTAAAAGACCAAATATAGTAAGTGTCGAATTTGGGAGCCAACAATACAACAACTTCCCGTTAAGCTGTAGGCCATCCAGGAACAATACCTATCACATATAACCAATGATTCTTGCCAAGGGATCATCCATACAGTAGTATGAATTGTCCAAGTTCATACCTCTTTTCAGTAAATACTTTCTTCCTTACCCATGACCAGAAAGTACCTTCCTAAGATCTCACTCAGAGCAGAACAGGATGCCTGCTCTAATACCAATTGAAATTCTGGTACAACAGACTCATATGTCCTACAAGGATATCGAGACATCTGATCTGACATAAACACACAAGCAAGATAAAACAATACTGAAAAGATAAAGAACATACAAGAATTGTTTACCCAGTTCAGTGTACAACAACACCTACTCTGGGGGCTACCAAGCCAGGAATAAAGTCCACTATCAGCAGTATCAATTTGCAGACCCTACAACCAACACACATGTTAACAATCTACGCACTTAATCACTACCTAATGACCCTTCTACCTAGGTCCTCCCTAGATATGGAATATCCCCATCCCACTTCCAATCATCACAATGATGTCTAGCAGTCAACACTTCAGTCACTGCATAGACAACTTTTCATCAAGATTCTGATCATATAGACAGTTTGGAAGACACACTTCCATGATAACCTATCTAGGTCTCCAAGCTAAACTCCATTGTTTGTTAACTTTTCTCCTAACTAAGAACACATCCTGGAGTTGCTTCAAAGCTTCCTCCAAGAATAATACACCTCTTATCTATAGACTTCGAGGTGAACATGGTAACCTTCCCACAACTGGGAGGTTTACCTTGACAGAACCCTAGACTTCTACATCTTGAGCCGTGTGTTTTCTAGGTTACAGACCCTTCTATTCATAACCTGTTACAAAACTGGTTTTGGGCCTTCAATCACAGCAAATCAGCTGTAACAAACTGCAGAAACTTCTGCCCCAAGAACGGTCTTCAATCTTTACTTTCTTAAATAATCTCCTTATTTAGAAAGTCTTCATTCTCCTGATTTCTGATTGAATTTTCTGGACCTTTAAATATGCGCCACATAGGATGCATAGTATTCTCCTGAATATTCTGCCAATGTTGAGAACAAACTGAATCTCATTAATCCAGCTCAGCAGGCGCGATGTCAAGACATCTTCTTTGACATGTTATTTCAGTTGTTGAAGAAGTTCAACACAACATGTTCTGACATTGTTCTAGGACTTCTTGTTGTACCTATTCTTCTTATCAAGTTTATACATCCTATTCTACATTACTTTATTACTGCTATTATTTGTTTTACAAAAATTAAGTCAATCCTAAAACAAGAGAACTAACAGAAATCAACTTCGCTAAGCGAGCTAAACTTCGCTTAGCAAACTTTGGAGGTCTCAAGTTTCCCAGTTGATTTGAAAACTTATCTCAGAAGCAAGGATTTCGCTTAGCGAAGTATAGTTTACTTAGCGAACTCAGGCGGCTAGAACAGCTATAAGTAGGACAATAACTCAGTTCAGTAATTCATTCCAGTTTTTATCATCATAGTATCATATATTATCATCTGTAATAGCAGTAGAATAGAAATAAAGGAGATTGTAAGGAGAAGGAGGTGGATTCGCATCAAGAGTTAGGAAATCGTCGTTCATGTCGTTTCAACTCAGTTCTCTATTTGTGCTTCAAGCTACCATGTGTAGCTAAATCCCTCTCTTGTTGGGATTGGTCGTATTTCGTCGAAATAGTATGTATATTCTTTGATCATGACGTTATATGTTATTTATGTTTGAATTAGTATCATTCTTATCTTTATTTTTACCGTTTATTTCATGGATTGAATTGATATTGGCAAATACGGTTCTAATCTTGATTCAAGATAACAACTATTAAACTCTAAATGTTAGACATAGATTTAAGTTTAATATTCACTAAAGTATATAATCTTAATGCTACCATATCGTTTAATAGGCTGAGAAATCATCGACTAAACCATAAGATAAAAATTGCATCAAGGTTTAGACATGAGCTTTGTTTGTGTGCGATACATGATGATAATGAAATAAGCATAGGCTGTGTATAACCGATTTCTGATATGCATATTGAATCGGCGAATGAACACCAATTCCCAACAAGTCTATTCCAATGAGACTTATCTTTCATATTTTACGCATGTTACTTTTCGTACCTACAAACCAAACAAATCTTAAAACTTATGCTTGGAAATATAGAAATCATTTAACAGTTTTGATATCACTTCAATCCCTGCGAATACGATAAAAATAATACTTTCATTTGATTATACTCAACATCAACGGAATAAATATATTGAATGATATAGACATAAAATCTTATTCTATTCTACACAAAAATATGAACATTTCTGACGGACCACACTTGATTTGCCACCCCAAATTTGAACTATAAAGATTAAAAAAAAATACTAAACCTAAAATTATTTTGAATGATCTTTATGAAAAAACTTGTAAATTTCAAAAGATGGATTCTGCCATCTCAATCAATTTTTTTTCATAATCTAAACTCACATTCCCCTCTAATAAAACTCATGGTTTATTTCTCTCTCCTTAACTAAAGTCTTATTTGAAAACTCCCAAAAAGGTAATCCTTTTATAGCCTTTCGGTGATTGGTTCCAACTACTTTCACTCTCTCTACACTATTTTCTTCCCTTTCATAAACCATAGTCCAAATCCTAACTCAATGCTAATTCTCCTAACCCCCCATAACTTTTTCACACACCAAACTCCAAATAAAGCTGCAATTTCTGACTCCTCAACCCCATAATTCCCAACACAAACTCACTTCTCTATCTCACTCTTCTCTTCCTTTGACTCCAAACCATCCATTCCAATGGCAATAGAATTATGCTCTGAATTATCCATCACTCCAGGAATCAGCCCTAGAATCTCATTCTCACACGATCTAAAATCCTCAACCGGTTCAATCCCGGTCGAAGCTCCCCACATTCAATCCGATTTACGTCTCCTAGACTCCACCGCCTCCGATTTCGTATTCACCATCACCAATACATTATCTCAACAACTCTCTTCAGCAGATGAACTCTTTTCAGACGGAAAGATCATTCCATTGGAGATAAAAAACATTATCTCCAATGAAAAAATCCTTCTAACTAAAAAAAGTTCATCACCTGATAAATTCTTTCAGCCTCTTCTAAAAACTCATCAGAAGAGGCTGAAAGAATTCTTATCAGATGAAACAGACACCGAAGAAGAAAAATCAACCTCAACATCCAAACATTTCTGGCAATTCAAAAGAAGTAGTAGCTTAAACATTGATACATCTCGACGGAGTAGCTTGATTCGATCATTACAATTCCTATCGAGGAGCAATTCAACGGGTTCAGCGCCGAATCCAAAAACACAGAAGCAGAATTTGCAGAAACAATCCTCTGTTTCAAGTAGTAGAAGATCTTCGTCTTCATCTTCAACTTCAAGTACATACTATTTCTATAGTTCTTCCAGTAAACATTCATTGAAGAAATCTTCTAGTAATGGTGTTAGAATTAGTCCTGTTTTGAATCTACCGCAAAGTTATATTCCTAAAGCTACTGGAAGTTTTTTTGGATTTGGTTCATTGTTTTGTAAAGGAAAAAGTAAGAGAAATAAAAAATAGATGAGGTAATTGAAATTGATTTTTTTTTTTAATATTCATTTTTTTTAGTTTCTTATTCATGATCTAATAGAATCATATGGGTTTGGTTTATGTGTTATAGCATGTGAGGCTAACTAATAATTGTGAGATAAAAAAAGTGGAAACATTATTTTTTTTTTAAACTCTAAATTGGTCGAAAGAATAAATAGTAGTAAATCATTTTTTTAAATGTATTTTTTTTTTTTTTTTTTTTTAAAAAATATTGAAAAATTTATCACTCCATTTGAAGAATTAACTTTTTTGTATTTTGATCTTTTGTTTTATTTTAGGGTTAATTTTATTGGTGTGAGAGTATCTATTTAGACAATATAATAAAATTTAGAGTTAAAAAGTATTACACTATAAATTCTTTAAATTAATAATGTTAAGACATGAGAAATTTATTAATTTAAAGAGTTATTAATTTATCGATAAATTAATAATTATTTTTTTAAATTTTTTTAAAGTAATTATACTGTATATATCAAACAAAAAGGCAAATTAGATTATGTCTCTAATTACGTAGTAATTATTGTGTTCGTAGGTATTGAAAATCAATAATGATTTTTGAAAATCAATAGAGTATCATTTTTTTTCCAGTTTCTATCAATTATTAATTTATGATTTTTTTGGGACCGAAAATTATAAACTGATCTCCTGAAAAATTATTATCTTATTATTTTATCGAGTTTTTCAATTTTTTACATTGGTCCAAATCGAAACCGAACAAATTTATTATTTTAGAGAATTTATTAATTTACCGAATATTAATTTAAAGAATTTCTACTGTACATTGATAATGTAAATAATTTATACAATCAATCAATAAAAAATTATCATTTAGTCATGTCATATAATTTATTTAAAAATAAAAACATAATTTGTCATTTAATATAATTGTGATTGATTAACGGTGTAAAATTATTTTACACTACATATTCTTTTTTCTCTAAAATTAATCAATAAAATTGTTTATAATAAAATATGACATGAATATTAATTTTGTTTATCTAAATATCATCACATCACCAAAATTCAAAATCGATCTCAAATTTAGATCAAATGGAAAAATTTATTATAAGTTAAAATGGGTGATGAAAAGATTTATTTTAAAAATAAAATATTTATTATTTTAAAAATAAAATAAAAAACTAAAAGTGAATTTAAACTTTAAAAAATAAACTATCAATTTAGTTGGTAAATTATCACTTAAAATATATAAATATAATAAATAAATTTAAAATGTTTCAATTGTTATTAATTTAAATATAAAATTGTCTTTTTAATTTTAAAAAATATTCACATAATTTAGAAACTAAATTAGAGATATGATGACAATTTATGAGCTTAATTTATAGTTTTATTATATGGGGTAAATTGTAATTTTGAAAAATGAAAACAACAGTTGAAGGGTATGGAAATGGACAAAAAAATAATACATGCATATCACTCACTATGTTTAGAGCCAAGGAGACAAATAAACAAGGAATCCTTCTTTAATGTTCACATCCCATGCTCTTTCCCTCTTATATATCTTTTTTTTGTTGATAATTACATGTGACTTCCTTTTGTTCATTTCAACATTGATTGAAGACTTATGTTGGGGGCTTTAATTTTCTTTTTGTATGCTCATAACAACTGTTCAATGGACCCCATAGTCTTGTTCTTTTTGTTTTCTTGTGCCATGGACAAAACAGTTAAGTCAAAAAGAAGAGGTTAGAAAAAGAAACCATTGATTAATATATATCTTCTAATAGTTCATTAATTAATAACTAAAATACATGTCCATAATTAGAGTAGTTTCAGAAGGCGTAAAATACAGATGACGGTATACAATAAAATATTTATCAGATAAGTCATGATTAAATATAATTTTTAATTATTTTGTTATGGTTAAATTGTGATTATTCTATCTATTACTTCTAAAAATTTAAGACGATTTTGCCCAAAATTTAAGATGGTTTTGCCCATTATTTTAATGATACTTCTTAATTTGGATCTAAAGTTTACATATGTACTATCAAATCTTTACTCAAAGATTGTATAAACTATTTAAATTGTTTTTTTGTCTAAATTATTTTTACACATTAATTTATCCATTTTCGTAATTAATAAATTCACCCTCACATAATAAAAACTTTTCTCACATCAGGCAACATGTATTGCATTATTATTGGACACTAATTTTATTATTTCTCGCATGAGACAATTCCCTTATTCAATTTTCTACTTCTCTGTAGCCCCTGCTCCCTTATTCTCTCATGTTCAACCCTATCTCTCAAATCCACAATATTCACGGCTTCCATCGCAACCACGTTCATCTCTCCCGTTTAATCTTCCTTTGTCTCTTACCTTTACTCATCAACCATGTTCACCTCTACTCTATTCGTCCAAAAAAAGATCAAACCCTAACACTCGAAATAAATATGAAGGTTATTTCTCTTCTATTTTTGTTTTAATCTACATTTTATTTTTTCTACTATATAGATCTGAAGCACATACATTGTTTATTTTCATTTTAAGAAATATTTTTTCTGATTGATTATGTATTGTGTTGTTGCAGTTATACCTACTATATTTGTGCAAGAACATGTCGGGAATGAGAAATCTTGCGTTTGCATTATAGGAATTTTGCTGATGGGGAACTCAAGGATAAGCTTTTCTGCATTCGCTTTTCATCCATTGAAACTACGTATGAACTCTTCTGATTTTTAATTTTAGGGTTTGTCATCACTCAGTATCTTTCATTTTGATTTTCCTTTTCTCTGCTTCACAGACTGGTTTCGCTTCCTCATGATCCTGATTCTGACGGTATATTTTGATGGAATTTCTGTGAATTCTATTTTCCTTTTGAAACCTAATTTTGTATGCAATTTCTTTATAGAAAAATAGTGTGTTTTCTGTTATAGCTTCTGAAATTAATTTGTTAATATTCTAGCTTAAAAGTTCCAGTTATTTTAGCTTTTCGAGTTCATATTGTATATGATTTGATATGAGTTCATCTTACAATTTATGTGCTTATGCATATTTTAAAACAACATCAAGTGTTTAGTTTATGTTCTGTATTGTAGCCTTTTCTTTGTTGCATTTTTACCAAACTCGTCGTATGTTATGTTAGCAATCCATGAAAATTGTGTTATAGTAGGATTTTATAACACGACTTTGAAGGTGATTTTGCTTCAATCTTTTGATATGCGGGTCATTAGATATTCGCATTATGCTTTCAGCTATTTGGGAAATTGTCCTTCTAGGATCACCTATATCAGACATTTTTCCATCTTACCAATCTATATTCTCTAAAGTGGTGGAGATATGAGGTTAGCAAATTATTTTGTATGCTTGCTTCTTTATCTTTTGATGGTTAGGTACATTGTGTTTATCGTCCTCTATCAATTGAGAGTGTTTCCTAGAGAAAGTGTTAGAACAAAGTTTGAATCTACTACCCTAAGTTTAAGTTTTGATGATAACAAAATGAAAAGATATATTAATTATGTGATTCATGTAAGAACTATTTGCTACCTAAAAATTACTTTCTGTTTTACAGAAACTCTGATGGGTATCAGCATGAGAACATCCTCATCAGCATCAGAAAATTGGATATCAACATCAGCATCAGAAGATGCTATATCAGATACCAAAATCAGAAGAACAACTCACGCTTATGCTGAAGCTTGATGAACAGATCTGCGCTTAACACTCTGAACTCTGATAAAGACAACAACAGTTCATCAGCACCTAAGCAGCGTCAGAATGAGCCAAAGCCAGAACACGCTTAAGTAGCAACAGTACTGTGCATTCAAGACGAGTTATTACCAACGGCATCATTCCAGACAAGATCTGCTTAATAAGGAAAGATTGTTATTGGCATTGAAACATAATTATTGCTCCAATGTTCACTAATTCCAATGCTATATAAACAAGTCAATGAAGATTGAATTGGCTAATGCTCTACAACACTCTACACGTCAAAAAGCTAATCATTATCTTCCTTACTCTCAGTTTGCTAAAAGCTCCAAAAATTCCTTACTCAATTATTTTAGCAATCTAGTTTCCATAAGCTTAATTTGTGTAGTATCACAGTTGTGATAAACAGTTTTGTAGAAAACATTCACACACCTAGATTTCAATTCTTTGTAAGAAAGTAATTCCTTGAGAAACCGGTTTGTGGTTTGCTTCAAGAAGGCTTTAGCAGTTGTTAAAGCAGATTGTAATATTCAGTTGAATATAGTGGATTAAGACCTCGTTGGAGAGAGGCGAAATCACCTTGACGGGTGGACTGGAGTAGTTTGAGATCAAACGAACCAGGATAAAAATATCGTGTTCATTGCATTGATTTTCAGTTTTACAATTCAACCCCCCTTCTTGTGTTTTTCACTTCTTCAATTGGTATCAGAGCGCCTGGTTCCGAGCTAAAACACTTAACCGTGTCAGTACAAGATCTTGCGTCAGAAAAACACAATGGCAGGAACTTATCATCACACCAGCAATGACAACAATGAAGACAGAGACAGATTCAGCGGCAAACCCCCAGTCTTTGATGGAGAAAATTTTGATTACTGGAAAGATAGAATTGAAAGCTTCTTTCTGGCACATGATGCTGATCTGTGGGACATGGTGACAGATGGATACACGCACCCTGTGAATGCAAGCGGTCAGAAGATTGATAGGAAAGCAATGACTGACCAACAAAATCCTGACTTCAAAAATCACCACAAGGCCAAAACCATCCTTCTCAGCGCCATCTCTTATGCTGAATATGAAAAGATCTCTAACAGAGACACAACAAAGAACATGTTTGACTCACTCAGAATGACGCATGAGGGCAACGTTCAGGTCAAAGAAACTAAAGCTCTTGCGCTCATTCAGAAGTATGAGGCATTCAAAATGGAAGAAAGTGAATCCATTGAAACAATGTTCTCAAGATTCCAAATTCTGGTAGCTGGTCTCAAGGTTCTGGACAAAGGATACTCTACTGCTGATCA